ATTTTACCAGCAGTAAAGGAGGGTAACCTGCTGAGTACCTCTTGTGTTCTGGGGCCTCGGCTTATGACCTCACTGCCTCTTCACACAGCCTTCTGGATACGCATCCTTAGCCTTGGGATATGGGAAGGTGAAATGATTTATCCAAGGTCACCCGGCTGTGAGAAAGAGTGGGCAGGACTTAAAGGAGAAAGGGCACTGAGTTCCTATTCCCAACCCAGCTCAGCCACTCTACTCCACTCTGCCTCCACCTCCCTCAGCAGGGACTTGTGATTGAAGCCTCCTCTGAGGAGGAGGAGGGACAGGGATGGAGAGACTTGTCACTGAGACAAGGGATTCACAGTTGGGAGGGAGGGAGCAGAGGTGGGAGAAGGAGAGGGAAGAAACGTTGACAGGAGAGGAGAGGAGGGGAAGCCAGGGAGGCAGAAGGAAGGAGGGGGTGGGAGAGGGCGGGGAGAGAGGAGATGAGGAGGAGAAGAGAGGTTAGGAGTCAGGCTGGAATCACCCAAAGCTTAACACCACTCTGTCCAAGCCTCTCCTCTCTCTCTCTCTCTCTCTCTCTCGCTCTCTCGCTCTCTCGCTCTCGCTCATTCTGTAGCCCAGGCTGCCCTAGAACTTGCTGGGTCAACCAGGCTGACTTTAACTCAGAGTCCCCTTGCCTCAGCCTCCCTTCTGTGCTGAGATAACAGGCAACAGTACTATGTAACAGGCATACAGTACCATGTAACAGGCATACAGTACCATGTCCCTCCTCTCTTTTCCTTCCTCCCTTCCCCCAAACCCTTCTGCCTTGGCACCATCCCACAGTGACACCTTTACCCCCAAAGAGCTTCCTGTCACCCCAGTTCTAAGTATGGCCCCTCTCTCCCAGCCCCTGGGAATGCTGGGAAAACCTAATGGGAATCACTGGGTGAGCTGTGGCTTTTTAAAGCCCATTTTCACACTGAGGCATATGTGGAACAGCAGAGAGATATCATGCTGGCCAGCTCCTCTGTAGCCTGTGCCAGGGAACTGGGGGCCTGTGCCCGCCTCCTTTCCATCTGCAGGAAAGCTAAAGGCCATGCTGGTAAAGAAAAATAAAGATCAAGACTGGCTAAGCCCAAGATGGAAGGTTCCTCATGTACCCCACTCTATATCCATCCACACTGTTCCTGTGGGTCTGGACTCTAAGACAGCCCCCATCTCCAGGCTGCCACTCTGGATAGACAAACTTAGGAGGAAGAGACAAGACCATACCAGACACAAACCCCTCAAAGGCAGGCAGTCCAGGCAGTGAGAAAAGAAGACTTGCTGGAGAGCTGAGAGGCTTTAGAAGGACAGTGGAATGTCTGATGCTTCACCATCCACAGGCATAGGGCTGGAGAGATGGCTCAATGGCTAAGAGTGTGTGCTGCTCTTACAGACCACCCAAATTTGGTTCCCAGCACCCGTGCAGAGTGACTTAAAAACACCTATAAGATCCTAGCAGACAGCCTGAGAGTGCCAAGTTCTGGCCTCCCTCTGGCAGAGGGCCTAAGAACGTAGGGGGAGCCTTGGATCCTGCCTCCACCTGGTGGTAAATTTTGGCTGCCTATGTATATGCTGTACACATAAACTTGTAAATAAACACCTAATTGTTACAAACAAAAAAAAAACAAAAAAAACTGTAATTCCAATTGCTAGGGGCCCTGAAGCCTGTGGCCTCCAAAGTCTCTCTCTCTCTCTCTCTCTCTCTCTCTCTCTCTCTCTCCTCTCCACATGATCCACATGATTACAATTTTTTTTTGAAACAGGGTCTTACTACGAAGCCCTGACTGCCCTGGGACTCACAGACATCTGCCTGCCTCTGCCTCCCAAGTGCTGGCATTAAAGGTACGTACCACCACACTCCAAGTCTTAAGCTTTTCATAACATGAATCCATTAGTGGCATGTATTGAGTACCTACTTTGTGCAGGAGCTATTTGAGGCTATGGAGAGGTCCTGTTGGATGGAGTCTGTGCTGGTTGAAGAGACAGACTTTGACACTGAAGCACTATCCTGAAGGAGAGAATGGCTCTTAGAAGAGGGGCGCCTTGCCCAGTAGGCTTCCCCAACCTATATACCTATATACCATGTACGTGTTGAAGACCAAGGTAGAGAAGCCACGATCAGCTTGAAGCCAAAGGTTGGAGGACTTGCCCTCTGTTCCCAAGACCACCACCCAACCTTGGAGACAGGATAATCCAAGGGACTCTCAAGTCAGAGGTGTGTCTATTCCAGGAGGCAGAGGCAAGTGGACCTCTGTGATTTTGAGACCAGCCTGGTCTACTTAGCAAGTTCCAGCACAGCTGGGGCTAAACTCTATGGAGAGACATGGTCTAAAAAATTAAATAAATAAATTTTAAAAACTCAGAGAGCAAGATGGAGCTCAGTGTTCTAACACTGGAAGATCTATATCACAATAAATAAATGAATGAATGAATAAATAAATATCTATAAGGACCAAGGGAGCTTGCAATTGTATGTGGTGCCTTTTACATTTGTGTGTGTGTGTGTGTGTGTGTGTTCACATGCCATGACATTTAGAGGACTACATGCAGGAATTGATTCTCTCCTTCCTCCATGTGGGTCCCAGGGTTCGACTCTAGTGTCCTTACCTGCTGAGCCATCTGGCCAGCCCCTTAACTTTTTTAGAAAAGTTTTTTTTTTTTAATTTTGTGTACATGTGCTTGTGTCTGTATCTATGAAGTATGTATATACAAATGTATGTGTATGTCTTGAGTCTGAGCATGTGTAGAGGCGAGGAGACAGCATAGGATGCCTCAGAGTTATGATTGTTTGCCAGACACCCAGTTTGTTACATAGGTGCTGGGATCCAAACTCCAATCCTCATGATTTTGCATTAAGCCCTCTTAGCCACTGAGCAATCTGTCTTCCCTTGATGTCTTTACTAAGTGAGAAACAAGTCCTTACTCTGTGGAGATGCCCGTTATCTGTTTACATTACAAATAAGGAAGTCCTTGGGAGAAGCTACCTGTCTTTGGGGGCCAGGAAGTCGCTCACACGGATGAGAAATGGGTGTTGCCACCTTTTATCCTCAAATCAACCAACTGGGAGTCAAGAAAATCATGAGAAGAAACTGCAGTAAATCAGGAATCCCTTATCAGTCAGGGACAAATCACTGAACAAGAATAAAGTCACTGGCAGTGGTGGCCCACGCCTTTAATCACCGCATTTGGGAGGTAGAGGCCGGCAGACCTCTGTGAGATCAAGGCCAGCCTGATCTCCATAGCAAGTTCCAGGCCAGCTGTGGCTACAGGGAAACCCTATCTCAAAAAGAAAAAGAATAAAGTCACTCAGGGGTGGAGAGATGGCTCAGCAGGTAAGAGCTCTCGCTGCTCTTTCAGAGGACCTAGATTCGGTTCCCAGCAACCACATGACAGCTAACAACTGTGTGCAACTCCAGTTCCAGGGATCTGATGCCCTCTTCTGGCCTCCGTGAGCATTGCATGACACAGATGCAGTTACATACATGCAGTCAAAATATACACAAAATAAATTTAAAAAAAATTTTTTTGTCTTTTTTGAGACAGGGTCTCCCTGTAGCCCCAGCTGGCCTGGAACTCGCTATATAGACCAGGCTGGCCTCAAGCTCACAAAGATTCGCCTGCTTCCACCTCCCAAGTGCTGGGATTAAAGGCACATGCCATGCCCAGCCAAATTTTTAAAAATTTTAAATGAAGTAAATCTTTAGAATATAAAAGGAAGGAGTGTGGAAGGCCCAGAGCCTCTGTGTCAGGATCACAGACATCTGCTGGGACTCAAAATCTTCTCAGGACATAGAGGGAGACCAAGCAGGGCTACAGCCAGGACTCCCATTCACCCTAGACACCACCCTCCTGGATAGTTCAGGCCTCACTCCTGGCCACTGCAAGCCCAGGGCGGGGGGTGCCTGCCTCACCTCTCAAGGTGGACCACAGGTTGGGTGGCAAGAACAGTCACTCTACATACAGACCATGCACAGCCTTGAGCTAACAGCCCCACCACATTCACAAGTAATTCCTATGTGTACTGGGGATAGAAACTGACTACATACAGCCCCATGAAGCTTATATTCAAGTCAGAGCCACCAAGTCAACAAATAAACTGGGGGTTGTGATAGAGAATGACAGGAGGGAGGAGACCATGGACCTACAGACTGGGAAGTCAACGGTCAGTCTGTGAACAGGTGGGCTGCAAAGGAGTTAGGGGAGAACAGCCACATGGAGAAGCATACGGGCAGAGGGAACAGCAGACACAAAGACCTTAAGTCAGGTGTGCTGACACACTGACCTGGTGCCTATAATCCCAGCACTTGGGAGGTAGAGGCAGGAGGATCACAAGTTCAAGATCAACCTTAGCTACATAGTGAGTTTGAAGTCAGCCTGGGCTACATGAGATCTAGCTTTAAAAACCAGCTTGGCATAGAATTAAGCTTGGCAACTTTGAGAACTATCTTCAGGGCCCTGAGGCTGGGGCAGATGAGGTTCCTCAGGCCACATTCTGAGATGGATTATCTTGTGGCAGTGGGGTTTGTGGTAGAAAGCAACCTCATGCCTTTCTTTTCTATTGCACAGACTCTTGTATGGAAAACGGACTGCAGTTAGGCTGGAGGGCAAGCAGGGACCAGGGAAGTCTGTCAAAGCTCCCTGGAGAGAGGTCACAGAGGCTCAGATTAGGGAGACAAGTACTCATTAGGGGGTAAAACCAGTAGGCCATGAGGAAGAATAATGCTATTTTCCACACCTGGTACACCAATACAGATTATAAGGAAGACTAGCGGAAGGGCAGGTGGGGAGAGCTGGGCGACGGTAAGCTCTCTGTTGCACAGGCTAATTTCCTACGGAGCTGTCCCACCGCTGTCAGCCACTGAGTCTAAAATTCAGAAGGCAGCTACATGGCCTTGCAAGGATCAGCAAGTTTACTAAGTGGCAGTGGTTGCCCAATGGCAGCTCATGCCTCTCCATCCCCAACCAGCCCAAGTCTCCCAGGGCAACCCTGGTACCTGCAGGGTCTCCAAGGCCTGGCCGGCCATACCAGTGGTGAGTGAAGCCACCTGCACTGCTTGCTTGCGGGCAGTCAGCAGGATCCTGCAGTAGGTGAAGCAGATGGCACCCGAGGGCAGGAAAAAGGTGACACCGGATGCCACGAGGACAAACGGCAGGCTGGCCAGTAGGCGGCACTGGCCCGGGGCTGGCGTGCGCGCATAGCCCAGTTCGTGCCAACCCAACAACAGCGGCAGGAAGGAGGCGAGCGCCGCGAGGGTCCAGGCACCCAGGATGAGCGCCAGGGCTCGCGGGGGCGTCATGCGCAGCTTGTAGCGCAGGGGAGAAAGGATGAGCAGATAGCGGTCCAGGCTGATGAGGCACAGGTTGAGGATGGAGGCGCTGCAGCACATCACGTCGAAGGCGGTCCAGAGCAGGCAGAGGCTGCGCGCCAGCACCCAGCGCCCATACAGTACGTTCAGCATGGCCGGGGGCATCACCACCAACCCCACCATCAGGTCCGACGTGAAGAGAGACACCAGGAAGAAGTTAGACGTGTTGCGCAGCGCAGGCTGCGTGCAGATGAGCGCAATCAACAGCGAGTTGGCGGCCGCTGTCAACGCGATGACCACGCACAGCGCAGCGGCCACCCAGCCGCTGCCCCCTGGGGCCAGAGGTGGCCCTGGTCCCCAGGCTGGGGTGCTATTGTTGAGAGGACCTGGCTCTGGGACCATGGGGACTGGGATGGAGGACTGAGTATGCTGGATGAGGTGACAGGGTGAATGACCAAGGGGAGGGGGGCGTCTGGATGAGAACAGCGTCTCAGGAGATTAAGGTGACAAGATGGACAGGGTCCTTAAATACAGGGCATCGAAGAGAAGAGGGAAGGGAGGGGTGTGTGGTCACCCCGAACGGTGGGGCCACCTGGAGCACTCAGGTAGGAAGTTTGGGGAGGGGCACCTGATGCGCAGAGTCCCTTAAAGTTGAGTCTGGGGTTGGCTGAGCGGCCTGGGGAGGGACAGAACGCCCTGGGGATGTCCTAAGATGGGGGGCGGGGCGCCCAGCCAGACTCACAGCTGGGGAAGTGAGAGCAGATGGTGAACCCGCGCCCTCGGGCCGCGGCTGACTTGCAGAAGAGGGTGGGCGTGTGGGGACTCTAGGTCGCCAGCCGTCGCGCGTGGGGGCTGCAGTGGAGTGGCCCAGGAGCAGGAGCTCAGCCCCGGCGGGGAAGGCAGGTCTCCGCCGGCTCAGAGGCACCGCGGGATCCGGCGGACTGGAGGCCGCGCGGCCGGGGCAGGGCAGGCCCGGACAGGAAGATCCCCTGGCGCTGGAGCGCACCGCCGCGTTCCGCCCTCCCGGCCGCCCGGTCGCCAGGTCGCCTCCGGCCGCCGCTCCCTACCTGGGGCGCTCGTCCTGATCGGCTGCCGGCGACTGCGGCAAGCGCCGCCGGGCGGGAGATGACAGCCGGCGGCGGGCGCCGCGGCGGAAAGGGGGGTCCGGAGACCCGGAGGCTAGTGGAGGAGCCAGGGATGCTCCAGCCGCGCACGGTCCCCAAGCCTCGGAGTGTGCGCCCCGCCCCGCGGTGGGCGGGGAGAGCTGAGCCCGGGCCTGGCAGGGGTCGCGGTACCCCAGGCCTGGAGAAGGATGCTCGGAGCGATCCAGCTGCAGCCCCCACACCTCCGCCTGCAGCTCCCCAGCCGACACGTGGTGATGGCGCAGGCGGAACTCAAGGAAGAGGGATGCGACTTGCCTGTGCCCGGGGATTGCTCCGCAATGGGGTCTGGCCACTCGCGGTGGGAGTCACCACAATTCAGTTCAGCTTATCTGACAAGTCGTTTGACACCCCTCTGGGCCTCAGTGGCTGAATCTATACAATGGATAGATAATTCCTGGCATTCTTCACCTTGAGTTTGAGTCGCGTGCTACCCCTCCCTTGTTTTTTCCATCCGGTTCTCCAACAGTGTCAGGTGCTTGGCATGAAATTCCTCACCTGTTGGCTCTCCCAGTCTGAGGTGGACAGATTTGGGGATCTCCAACTCAAAGTTGGTAGGGTAGAGTCACCGCAGGCAGGGGGAGGGGATGTATAGCGCCTCCTAGTGGTGACAAATATTTCTTGGGTTGCGCACCTAATCTAGACACCGGATCAATCCGGACACTAGTCACCCAAACAAAACCCCCTCCATAACTTACGTGTTAGCAGAAGGAAACAGGCAAGAAACAAGCGAAAGAAATACATAAAGTGATCATTGCTATAGGAAAAAAGAAAATGTGGAGCAGTATAAAGTGTATCTGGGGGCTGGAGAGATGGCTCAGTGGTTAAGATCACTGGCTGCACTTCCAGAAGACCGGAGTTCCGTTCCTAGCACCCACAGGGTGGCTAACAGCCACCATTAACTCCAGTTTCAAGACGCCTTCTTCTGGCCTCTGCAGGCACTGCACACCCGTGGTGCACTTACGTGCATGCAGGCAAAACACTCATATACATAAAATAAAAATAAACAAAATTTTGAAAAATTAAAGAGTATTTGGTAGGGGTCTTTTTAGAAATAGAAATACCTGGGGCTGGAGAGATGGATCAGAGGTTAAGAACACAGACTGTTCTTATAGAAGACCCAGATTCAAATTCCAGCACCCACATGGCAGCTAACAACTGCCCATAACTCCAGTTCCAGAAGATCCCTCCTCCGGCATTGCATGACATGGGTGCACTTATATACATGCAGGCAATGCACTCATACACGTAAAATAAAAGTAATAAGTACAAGCCAGGCGTGGTGGCGTACACCTTTAATCCCAGCACTTGGGAGGCAGAGGCAGGTGGATCTTTGTGAGTTCAAGGCCAGCCTGGTCTACATAGTGAGTTCCAGAACAGCTGCAGCTACAGGGAGACCCTCAAAAAGACCAAAAAAAAAAAGTAATAAGTACAATTTTTAAATCATCCGAAAAAAAAGAAGAAATAGAAATACTTTCCATGTGTAGGGCCCAGTCTGTTCCTGAGCTTTGTTACCCCCATAATATCTCTACCCTAATTCCCACCCCAACAATGCCTGAAAGAACAGTGTTAAGCTGGGGCCCAGACAGGTCAAGAGTCTCTCCAGGGGTCACCAGCAGCAAGCAATCAAGTGAAAACTGGGGTTCGGATCTGCCAGATGCCCAAGGTAGAGCCCAGCACAGATGGTCAAAGGCCAGAAACCCCAAAGGAGCAAGTCACTCACCCCTGAGCCACTATGGAGCTCAGAACCCTTCTACACAGTAGAAGGAGGAGGCCTGTCCTCCTACCCACCTCTACTCTGCATGGCCTGAGGGATGGCATGCAGGGCTGGATGGAGAGTCAGAGACCAGCCTGAGATCCTAGCTCCACTGCTCAGCGGCTCTCAGCACTCAGGACCCAGAGGCACCTGCCCCTCGGTCCCTTTTTCCCTCTCCAACAATACAGTATCTACCTCAGAGGGTGCTAAGGAAGATGAAGTGACACTGATGTAATCCATCAGCTTGACAGTGCTGTGTCAATGCTAACTGTTGGCTTCTGTGTCCACACTGGGGTTCCATCCTGAGGGGCCTCTAATAGCCCAGGGATGCCTAACATAAGCAGCAGCAGATGCCCTTGCAGAACAGATGTCAGAGCTACAACCCTGAGTGGTTGGTTTTGGTTTTGGTTTGTTTTTGTTTTTGTTTTTTTGTCTTTTTGAGACAGGGTCTTCCTGTAGCCCCCAGCTCCCCTGGAACTCACTATGTAGACCAGACTGTAGACCAAGCCAGGCTAGCCTTGAACTTAGAGATCCGTCTGCCTCTGCCTTCTGAGTGCTGGTATCAAAGGCGTGGGCCACCACGTCCAGCTAGAACCTGGCTTCTTAATCATGATTCTGTTGCTTGCTCTGTAAAGTCAGCAAAGGGTTTTTTGGTTTTGTTTTAATTTTCAATACATTTATTTATTTTGTATGTGTGCACATGTATGTGTATGCGCACACACATGCCACGGCATGGGTATGGGGATCAGAGGACAACTTGGAGGAGTCAGTTCTCTTCTACCACCATGTGGGTCCTGGGTATTGAACTCAGATCATCAGGCTTGTCAGCAATAACCTTCACTGACTCAGCCATCTCCATGACCATGTTTGGTTTGCTTGCTTGTTTGTTTTTGTTGTTGTTTGAAACAAGGTCTCATTATACAGTCTAGGCTGGCCTCAGATTTCCTATCTTCCTGCCTAGCCTCCTGAGTGGTATGATTACAGGTGTCTAGCACCATGCCTAGCTAGAAAAGTCTTTCCATTCCAGACCTCTCGGCACAAAGAGGGGCCTAATAAATTATATGTAGGGGGGATAGAATATATTCCATGCTTTAGTTTTTTTCTATAATGGATGGAGCCCTTCACTTTTTAATAAAAAACCATGATCATTTTAACACTTGTTCATTCTGGGCAATCAATTCATACATGTTTGCTATGATCTGTATTTTGCTAAAATTAAAAAGTTTATTTTTGTTTTCCAGACTGGGGCTGTGGAGTGGTGCCACCTAGTGGCCACACTGTAATTATCTTGAACTTGAAGCCTCCGGGAGTTCCTTGAAAAAGTTCATGTGTTTGTCATTTCATCCTGGAATAATTAAGTCCTACCCTTCCTCGCGGGCAGGGCTAGAGAGGGATTTTCAGCCCATTGTGGTTATTTCCACCTTGGTGACACAGGACGCAGGTGGTGCTGCTGTAGGACAATGGGACCACTGTCTCAGAAAGTCACACCTCTGCTCCAAACTCCATGCCCAGAAGAACAAGAGGACAAAGATAGTGCCCCACTACACAGATGCAGAAATCAAGGTCTGGAGAGGTTGTACGTCCAGCCAGAAACTGCTCTTGCGGAAGGCACTATGTGGGTTAACTCTACTCCAGGCAAGTTTTGCCTGTTATGTGAGCACAGACCAGGTTCTCAATAAATATCTGCCAATAAATGAACAAAACTGTTAGTCACCTGAAGTGGAGGTCAGTCATTCATTCTCCAAACAACAGCAGCCGATGCTTACTGTGGTCTTACAGTGCCAGGCACTGTCCCAAGCTTGCTCCATGCACCAACTCACAGTACACTCCCCATGACACTGAGAGGGAACCTGGTATGATAAGTAATCTCCATTTTACAAGACAGGAAACCTGAACCTCAGATATCTGTGATTGCTCAAGATCAGTTAGGAATTAGCCCAATCAGGATTTGAATCTAGGCAGTCTGGACCTCACAAGAGGCCTGGAGCAGGAGAAGAAAAGCAGCTGATAGTTGGCCCCATGCGCAAAAATGGGGCAGGGAAGCTGGCTCTAACTGCCTCTAACTAGCCAGTCAGCTTGTGTTGACAGTGCTTACCTAGCTAGTAATCCCTCCTAAAGATGCTAAGTCCTTTGTGCTTATGGAAAGGGGTGAGGGGCTACAATTTTATCCCTCTTAGTGGTTCAGTTTGAGCACACTAAAGGCAAAACTCAAAAATTACTACCCTCCTCCCCACTCACACATGCAAATACACACATATTCCATGTTGACACAGTTCCTACTTCTCAGATTCATTCTTTGCTGCGTGTGGTAACACAAGCCTCCTAAACCTGAGACAAAAGGACCATGAGAGACTGGAGAGATGGCTCAGAGGTTAACAGCACTGGCTGCTCTTTCAGAGAACGAGGGTTCAGTTCCCAGCACCCTCATGGCAGTTCACCACTGTCCCCAACTCCAGTTCCAGGGGATCCAACACCCTCTTCTGGCCTCTGCTGGCATTGCACACGTGGTACACTTACATATAAGCAAAACACCCATACCCATTTTTAAAAACAGTTTAAAAAAGGAAGACCGTGAGTCGGTGCACAGGGCAAGCTTGGGACAGTGCCTGGCATTGTGTAAGACCACTCTGGTTTACAGAATGGGACTCTAAAAAATGGGGGCTGGTAGGGTGCCTGCTTAGCTTTCATGAAGCCCTGGGTTTGGTACCCATCACTGCATTATGGCACATGTCAGTAATTCTAGCAGTCAGGAGGTGGAAGCAAGAGAATCAGGAGTTTAAGGTCATAGCCTGCCTGGCCTGAGACCTGGTGACAAAAAAAAAAAAAAAAAAAAAAAAAAAATTTGAAAAAGGTTTTCCCACAACAGGAGGGGGCACACATGTGACACCCCACTCCAGTTCCAGGGGTTCCAGTGCCCTCTTCTGACTACCGCAGGCATTGCATGACACAGGTGCCCTTACATACATGCAGCTAGTATAAAAAAAAAAAAAAAAAAAAAAAAAAAAAGCTATTGGTAAAGTGTTTACCACACAAGCGTGAGGACCCAAGTTGGACCCCCAGAACTCATGAGGGTTTTCTGGTTTGGTTTATGGTTTGGTTTCTTTCGTTTCGTTTTTGTTTTGTTGTCTTCTTTTTGGTCCCTGTAGTCCTAGCTGGTCTGGAACTCACTATGTAGACCAAGCCGGCCTTGATCTCACAGAGACTTGCCTGCCTCTGCCTCCCAGGTGCTAGGACTAAAAGTATGTGCCACCACACCCGGCGTCAGAACACATGTTTAAAAAAAAGCCTGGTGGGGGCTGGAGGGATGGCTCAGTGGTTAAGAGCATTGGCTGTTCTTACAGAAGACCCGGGTTCGAATCCCAGCACCCACATGGCAGCTAACAACTGTCCGTAACTCCAGTTCAAGGAGATCCAGCAGCTTCTTCTGTCTTCCGTGGCATTACATGACATGGGTGCACTTACATACATGCAAGTAATAAACACATACACATGAAGCAAAAATAATAAAATTTTTAAAAAAGAAAAAAGAAATGGATTTGTTAAAAAATAAAAATAAAGCCTGGTGTGGGGCAAGCTAGATGGCTCACTGGGTAAGGGCACCTGCCTCCAAGCCTGATGACCTGAGTTCAGTCTCCTGGATTCACATGGTGGAGAGAACCAACTCCCAAAAGTTGTTCTCTGATCTCTGTTTGCACCATGGCGCACTCATGCTCCCCCTCGACTGCTTTCCCCCAAAAGCTGATGTGGTAGCATGTTTGCAATCCCAGAGCTGGGGAGGTGAGGACAGGTGAATTTCTGGGGCTCACTGACCAACCAACCTGGCCTACTCAATGAGTTCAATAAGAGACCTGGTCTCAAAAACAAGGTGAATGACACTGAGAAATGATACATGAGGTTTTCTGGCTTCCAGGTGTGCATGTGCACCCACATGCACAAATACACACACATGCACAGCCGTACACAGGTATACATCCAGACAGAAACTGCTCTTGCAGAAGGCACTGTGTGGATCAATGCACATACATACACATACACACATATACACGTACACACACGTACATCATACATGCATACACACATGTACACATATGCACACACATATATGTGCACATGCACACATGCCTATATACCGTATATACTTACACACATACATATACACAATATACATATATGTATGTACACATGTATGCATAAACACATACACACATGCCTATACACAAATATACACACACATATATGTACATACATAACCACATACATATATATGCACACATGCATATACACACATGCATGTGTACACCCATACACATGTACCCCCACACACACATACACACATAGATATCACATACACACACACACACGTTCTTTCATCCTTGAGATCTGGTGGCTCCCCTGGCTGGACTGACATCTAACCAGAAGCAGCTCTCCCTGTAGCCTGCCTCTCTTACATGACCACACCTCTCCAATCTCACTGCCCCTATAAAACCCTGGCACCCCCAGCTGGCCTGCTGTCTACGACTTCCCACTCCTCCCACTCACCCTAAGTTTTTCTGACACCCAGCTCTGTACAGATCTGCACTTTGGAGAACAGAGAATGGTCTCTGCTGGTATTCAGGGTCTGCAAGAGCCTGTCAGCTACCTTCTTGCTTTACATTTACCCAGTGCCTTAAAAATTGTGTAGCCACAAACTCAGAACCTGCTTAGAGCAAGAAACCCGCCACTCAGCACTCAAACCCAAGTCCCTGGGGTCGAGGTTCACTACCAGTCAATATTTTGACTGCAAGTTGCAGTGACGGTGGAGGTTGGGGGGGCACATCAGGTGACTTCCGAGCTTCTTAAAGTCAGAAATGCATCCAGAGCCTCAGTTTCCCATTCTGAAGAGAGAATGAAAAAGTTCTCCCTGCGGACTTTTGAGTGCTGGTGCCACTGAACTCAGCGTGAGCTCTGAACCAGATTGCCGGTATTCAATTCCTGGTGGCACTTAACTGCATGACCCTGGGGAAATGGCTGAGCCCTCTACCTCAGACGCTTTGTATATAAAATAAGGGCAACACAGGGGCCTGGAGAGATGGCTCAGTGGTGAAAGCACTTGCAGCTCTTGCAGAGGACCCAGGCTCAGCTCCCAGAATCCACATGGAGGCTGAACTGTAACTACAGTTCTAGGAGATCCGACGTCCTCTTCTGGGTTCCTCAGACACTGCACATAGGTGATACACTTACATACATGCAGTCAAGACACTCATAAACATAAAATTTAAAAATATATCTTTTAAAAACTAAGGACTAAAAGCCAGGTGTTGTGGCGCACACCTTTAATCCCAGCATTCGGGAGGCACAGGCAGGCGGATCTCTGTGAGTTCAAGGCCAGCCTGGTCTACATAGTGAGTTCCAGGACAGCGGGGGCTACAGGGAGACCCTGCTTCAGAAAGACCAAAAAAAAAAAAAAAAAAAAAAAAAAAAAAAAAAGACCTAAGGACTAAATTGAGACAGGACTGAGAATTAGACCAGTTGACTTGTGCAAGTGACAGCCCAGGACCCAACCTGTAATCATTTGTGACCAATGAGCTTTGGATTTGTCTCTTTCCTCTTCTCTTGGGGCTTGGACCAGGCTGGTGACATGCACCAGGCCCCATGCTGGGTCACTGAGAGTGAAGAGATGACAGGCAGCAAGCCTGAAGGACCAAGGGTTGAAATCCAGTTGTGCAGACCCAGCCACAGGGTAAGCAAGGCCCAAAACCAAGGGAGGAGGTGGGAACAGAGACTGTGAGCCAAGGGTGCTGCCAAGGCACACACAGCGGGGAAACGAGAGGACCCACCGCATGCCAGGAGGAGTTTCAGGGACACCAGTGGTCTGCTCAGCACTGTGCACAGCAGGCCCAGGCTCCCATCCCAGGGCCCATAGCACCAGGTCAGCAGAGCGGGCCCACAGGAAGGAGTGGAGACAATGAAGGCGTTTATTCATGAGAACACTCAGGGTTCAAGGGAGATGGCTACTGGTTACAAGCTCTAAAGCTCTCGTCAAACAGCCATGGGCTGGAACACCCCTGGGGTAGGTTAGAGTGGCAGCCCCCTGGACACAAGCAAGTCGGAGGGCAGGGGGCTCTTCCTCGCCACCTGCTCCGCCTGCCCTGCCTTAGGTCCCACATCCCTCTAAGGGGCGAAAAAAGTGCACCTGGAAAGGAGGATGGGGGAGAATAAGGAGCTAGGAAGAGCTAGAGGAAGCTGAGGTCAGCAGGGGTCCTGCACAGGGGCCTCCTGTTCACTATGTCCCAGTGATGGAGATAAGCCCAGGCATCATCATATTCTGAAAGACCTTCCCCCAAAGACAGTAGAGTTGGCTCCATCTGCTCCTGAGGAGTCTAGAACACGGGGGTAGTGGGTGCTAAGAGCTCTTGAGGGAGGAAGGCTTGCTCTCTTCTTCAGTGACAGTCTGGCACCGGAATCAGCAGGGTCCTGCCCCGGCCTGACTCCCAAACCACTCTATTGAAGGGGTTGCTTCCCTGGGGATGGGGAGTGGGGGAGGCCTGGAGGGGAATCTGTGGGGGCTGGAGACCGCTGCCTCTGCCAGGAATCTTCCTAGCCCAGCCCCTCCTGCAAGATGGGTACTGGCATGGTGCCCATCCTTTGCCCACCCCTGGGGATCCTGCCCCATCAGGGTCTGTGTGGGCCCTGGCCTGGACCTGCCTCTTGGAGGGCCTCATGTCTCCTCAGCAGCTTAGCCCACTTCCTCCCCTTCCCAAGGGCACATCTCTAGAAGGCAGAAAGGAAGAGCCATCCTCCACCTTCCCAAAAGAGCCTGTCCTGGAGAGCTCTGCCTCTTCCCCCCATCTTGCATATATTAAATTGTGCAGCTCCAGCCCCTCCCTTCAGGTCTCCATGGCAACCGGGCAGCATTCCAAGTCCAAGTCTGAATCCCAAGTCCATCCAGTGCCAAAGGAGGGGGTTTCCACCTCTCCCCTCACTCTTCCCTGGAGGGTGGGACCCAACATTCCACAGGGGATGAGAGGGGAGGAAGAACTGGGGGTCCCTTAGTCCTCGGCCCCCTCTTCTTCAGCCTGGGGGGGTGGAGGTGGGGGTGGGGTCCAGGCTGGGAGCCGGGCCCATCTTCACCCTGCACGTAGACGCTCAGACCCTCGTGACTGGGCTCCTTGCCGCAGGCCTGGCAGCTGCAGTGCACGATCTTCTCCACGAGCTTGTCCACTCTGGGCACCTCCTCATGGCCTGGGCACTCCAAGGTCACCTGAGCAAGGCGGCAGGAAGGGAAGGGATTTTCCTGAGGCCTGGGCAAGTGAGGAGGCCCCAAGAATAACATCTCAGAGGACTCCAAATTCCAATGCCCACCTGCAACAGCCCAGGGTCCTCTGTGGACCCATTCAGCAGGTGGGGGACTGAGCCCCTGTAAGAGCCCCATCTCATCTCCTCACATCCAGCCCTGACCACTTCCCCTTCTTACACAGCACTCTAGGCACCAGTGGGAAGGGGGATCCCTCAGTCTCCCATTGTATGTAGAGAAAAATCCTGACCTGTCCCTCAGGCCTTTGGGACCTTCAGGTTGGCCCTGGCTGGCTCGCCACCCCTAACCCCCAGACCTTGTCGTATTCCCACCAACTTTATACAACCTGCTCTGCTTCAGAGACCTTACAAATGCTGTTCCCTCTGTCTGGAAGGTTCTGACCTAACCCATTCTCCCACCACTGGCCCCAAGCTCTGTCCAGTTAATTTCCGGGCAACTTTGAGTTCAACTGAGCCCCATCCCAAGCCCCCTACACATCAAGGTTCACCCTTAGCTCCCTGCTTTTGCCTTATGGTCATGTTTCTGTCATTCCTTCCTTCCGTCCTCTCTTCACCTACTCTGTGACAGCTCTGGGGCACAAGAGCAGGCACAGTCCCTCAGGAAACTCAATCCAGGTGCCAAAATCACCCCGATGTGATGGAAAGGCTGTAGAGGTGACAAGTCCTCAAAGAACATGGTTCTCTGAGAGCCTAGGGCCCAAGGATTTGACTGGGCCAGAGTCATCAACAATGCTTAAGCCCAAAGTGGAAGGAATGGATAAAAGCTAACTGGCTGAAGAAGAGGAGGAGGAAAAACGTCAGAGCCACGTAAAGAGCACCAGCAAAGAGCCTGAAATAGAAGAGGGCAGAGCAGAGCAGGCAGGAGGGGCTGAAAGGAGGCAGGTTGGTACCAAGTGTCAGGTTAGTGGGAGGGTACCAAGCAAGAGGGCACTGGAGAGACTGCTGAGCCAGACCATGTGGGGTCTTACAGGGCAAGACAGAGATTTTGGTCTTATCCTCTAACAGTGGGAGGTGACAGTACCCTGCAGTGTGTGTGACATCCAGTGAGATTCAGGAAGATCTCATGTCCTCTATAAGCTGGTGTCAGACTGAGCAGCCCTGGTGCAAGGACCCTGTGGTGTATTCCCAGCATGAGCCCTGCACGCCCCCCCAAGAGTATTCAAGGCCACCTGCTGCAACGCAGAGGTGGGGCGGGTGTACTCACAATCTCCCACATGGACTGGGCTGGCATGCAGGAGTCACAGTGTACCAGGGACTCTGTGGACTGTGGGAAGGTGTTGGGAACACTGTAACTGAAACACTGTCCTAGACACGCCCTGTGGAAAGAAAAATCACCGTGCCTGGGTCACCACAGGGGAGGTCCCTGCAGGACAGCCCTGATTTTCTTCATGCCACATCCCCCCCAGTCCCACCTGTTCTGGATGGACTTGGCTTCACAGCCGCTGTGGCCCACGATCTGTGTGATGTTCTTAGCTTCGCACCAGGCACTTTTGTCTGGGAACAGGGCCAGCTTGTTGATGGGTGGAGGGGCAGCCAGCAGCATGGCAGGCAGGACAGCCCCTACCAGGACCCGGAGCATTGTGCCCGCGACCTCCAGAGCCCTGGAACTGAGCACAAGTGGCAAGTGAGGGGCAACAGAACCAGGTAGTCTGGGTAGTGGGGGACAGTGGTGTTCCAAGTATAGGCTCTGACCTGAGTTCAAGGCCAGCTCTCCACCCACAAACGAAGAACATTCTTTCTTTCTTCTTTCTTTCTTTCTTTTTTTTTTTTTTTTTTTAACTTTTACAGAAACTTCACTGAGAATTTCATATATGCATATAAGGTAAGGTGTTTTGATCAAATCCATGCCCTTTTTTTTTTTTTTTTTTTTTTTTTTTTTTTTTGAGATAGGGTTTCACATGGCCCAGGCTATCCTGGGTTTGTAACTGAGGACAACTTTGAACTCCTGATCCTGTTTCCACTTCCCCAGTACTGGGATTACAGGCATATAGCACCAAGCACAGCTCGAAATACCTCTTGGACAAGGTATTTCATATCTCCAAACCTCAAAAATGGAGCTGTAAATAGCACCACATCAGAGGAGATGGAACGAGGTATTAAGTGGGCTAGCACAAAAAGAAGAGTACACTCCAAATGCAGTTATTATTTTTATAACTTGATATGGAGCCTTGAGCAAGTTACCAATGTCCAGCTTGGAGTGTGTCTCTGTGGTACAGTACGTGTCTAGCATGCACAAGGGGCCCCTGCATTCAGTCCCCAGCATCATAAACCCAAAGTGATCTACACAGCCTTAGAGGGGGCTGGTCACCCACTATGCCTCCTCCTTCAAAGACACTGTCATTCAACCTTCATGTCACCGTGAATTCGTATGCCACCTGAGCACATCTAATTTCTTCTTCCCTCACATCATTATCCCCAGCCCTCTCCCAACCCCTGAGCCAAGAAGAATACAAAGCTCCCTGGGCAAAGGTTTCTGCTTTAGAAGCATGATAATACCAGAGGCTGCCAGAAGATGGCGCTGCAGGACAGCGTCTGTGTCTAAAGGACTCAAAGGGGATGCATGACATTTCCCAACATTATCTTCCATAGACTTCAACCATTTCCCCCACCTCAAAAACTATAAGGAGGAGTTTCAGGGAGATTTGAGGAAAGGGCAGTGTTTTTAAGTGGTCAGTTTCCAAAGCTGAGACAGGACATTGGGGAAGAGGTCCTAGATACATACATATGCTATAGGACCCTGGATGGCAGGTCTCAGTTTTCTGCCTGCAAAATGAGTGTCTCAAACCTGCTTGCTCATCAGAATTCCCTAGGGACTTGTGGTGTGAAAGCCTTCAGCTAAGGTGATTCACAATTTCCTAAGGGTGGTTTTGATGGGTAGCCAGGCAGGGGGATCAGCCCAGCTCAGACAGTCAAGGACTCTGTCTTGGGATGGTCCCCAGAGGAGCTCTACTAGCTCCTTTGGAAACTAAGTATTAAACATAGGGATAGCATCATTCTAACAGTCTTGCTCTGAACCTATCTTCTGCAGGAAGTAATGGGGATGGTGGACAGGTGCTTTGTAACGTGTCCTGAGAGGAGACTGTGGGACTGGCAGCTTCTACAGTGAGAATCCAGGTGGGCTGACACAGCGGGCTTTCAGGGAGGGCACAGGCAGCCTGGGGGCTGTGATGCTGCACCCCAGCACCCCACTCATCCAGCAGGCCTTTCAGCTCCTGTCCCTCTCCTTGCAGAGGTCTCGGTCCCTGGAGACAACCTGCGCTCCTATTGGGCAAGGACAGATGGAGGTGGGGTTGGACTGTGTGCCCTAACTCCAGTAAGTTCCAGCTGTGATCCAGACTCACCCACACATTCCAGACTTGCCCACAAGATCCAGAGCAAAACCGTTGTTTTTAGGACAACCACATCCTAATAGAACAGACTAGACTTATTCCTAACTGCTCTGCAACAGGCTCAGTATCCAGCAGACTTCTGACGGGTCCTCTGCCCTCCCTCAGGAATCAGCCTAAGTCAAGATGTGACCGTGACCTTCCAGAAAGATCCAAGGTCGATGGAAAGCCACTCCTGGGCTCTCTCTGAGCTGGACTGGCCACCCTAGGCATTAGAGAAGTCTCTGCTGAATTACCTGACTCTGTGGCACTTCCTTGACAATGACAGGTGGCAGGAGGGGCAGGGAGGTGACCAGGACCCAGGCACGGAATGATGCCAAGGTGTCCAAGGGACTGGGATTAGCATTTGAGCTGTCATGACAGTAGCCTAGAGATGAGCATGTGGGTCTAATTTGAACCTGGAAGTAGAGGGGATGATAGGGCTGCCAAGGTCAGGACTCGTGAGTAGGGACCAGCCTTCGGGTTAGCAATGTGGCTTCCTGGAAGACAGGATAACAGGACACATGTGAAGACAGCTGCAGGCCTGGAGATCGGGCCCTGTTTATTAGAACTCTCCAGTGCCCAGTGGAGAGTAAGTACAAAGGCTGGCCATGCCCTTAGAAGGATACTGTACCCCACCCACCATACCTGGCTAGGACATGGAAGCAGGATGCAGGGATCACAGTCAACTTCCCCCACCCAGCAAAGGAGCACCAACAGACTGGCCTGCTGCCGTCAGACACAAGGCTCCCCAGTCCCCAGTGTCGGTGACGGTGACAGTGCTCCCACCTAGGAGCTGTGTGGCTTTGAGAAATAGAGTTCATCTCTCAGATCCTATTGTCCTCAGCTGTAAATGGGGAGCACAGAGCCTTCCTAGAACTGGGGGGAGGGTATGTGAGCATCTAGCACCCAGCAGACACCCAGCATCTAGCAGGTACCCACCAAGCCCAGCTTCTTCCCCAGGGGGGACCATGGGTTAAGCTGGGCAGTGTCAGAGGGGAGGCAGCAGGTGTGCCATTAGGAACCCAGCTCCTCCAGCCTCCACATGCTGCTCAGAATACACATGTCCCACCTATGGGTGGGTTCCTCTTAGGTCTTATCTGCTGTTGATTTATGGTTTTGTTTTCAGCTGATTTCTGTTTAAGCAGCTGTTGGACTTTCCTTCCTGAACCTCCAAAAGCCTCACCCAGCTTCTCAAAACTTCTACCCTGAAGGTTACACAGAGTGCCAGGGTGCCAGGGAAGGAGAATCTGCCATCTGTCAGACCAGCACCAAGCCTTTATAAAGAGGTTGTCTCGAAGAACCCAGCAAGTGCGCAGAGCTGTGCCTGTCCCTGGGCTATTCCATCTGCTATAGTAGGCATTCCTTTTCTGGGTGCCTTCAAAGAGGATGAGAGAGAGTGAGGGTGGGACACAGGGGGACTCACCCACTCAGGAGCTCGGAGCCCAGAGGGGAGGTCAAGAGATACTTGTTGGAGATGGGCAGAAGTTCATAATTTTGGACTGAATGGAGGGACTGCACGCGGGTGGGTAAGGGTGGAGATGGAGGAAGGGAGCACCTGGCTGAGGGTACTGCCAACGGAGAGGATCACAATCAGAGGGGCTCATAGCCCCTCCCGCCCAGCAGGGAAGTGTTGATCCTGACTGTAGGGCCAGTGGCTGAAATGTGAGCTCTACCATGTCAATTGACTTGGTTCTCACAATCATCCCACTGGACAGGCCCTGTTCTCTCTCTCACTTTACACATGAAGAATGGAGACCCAGGGTAGCTAGGATTCATGTAAGCTTATATGACCAGCAAATAGCAAAGTTGAGATTTGACCCAGAACAGAAACAGATGAACCAGCTACCCTTGTAGACAGAAGGCTCACAGAACAGAAGGAGAGAGAGAGAGAGAGAGAGAGAGAGAGAGAGAGAGAGAGATCCAGGGAATAAGCAAGGGTGTAATGGGGAGCTGGGATGGGCTCTGGGGTCCCCTGTGGCTTCCCTCTTGTCCTGGCTCCATAGACCAGGGTTCAAATCCCATCCCTGGCTCCCTGAAGACCCTGGCTTCTAGGGTTTGGGTATTGGATGAAAGTGCCCTGCTATGAGGTTCAGCAGCGTCCTCGGCAAAGATGGAACATGCACAGGTGGAATACACACAGATACACACCCCAGCCACACCTCAGGTCGGGGTGGTGTGGCGAGGTTCAGTCATTTCTGGAGAACCTCAAAGGGCAATTGCTAGGCTCTGGCTGGTATAGCGCCTTCTTCCCATCCTCAGCCTCTGCTCACCCCCAAATTCCTGCCCTCTGGCTCCTCAGAGACCGTCTGTGTCTTGCCTTTTCTGACCGCCACCCACACAGAAAGAAAGCCCCTAAGAGGTGGCACCCACTGGCTGACCCATCACACACAGGTCAAGAAGGAGACCTACCCACGTCTCCCATCCAGGAAGAGGGCAGGGAGCACTGTGGTGGCCTCCCTGACCCTCAGCTCAAAAGGCCCCTCAGGAAGGCCAAGGGGTGGGGCCATGAGTACACAGGGCTTGGCCCAAGGCACACCTGCCAGACCCAAGCAGCTGTTCTGAGCCATTCACCAGAAATGCCACAGCCCTGGGCCTGGTCTACAGAATTCAACCCGTACCCCAGGCCTGGGGGTCAGTTGAGTGGGCATCTATCTGTGCTCCCCACATGATTCTGAGACCCAGTCAGGTCAAGAGCTGTGCCCCCCACCCCCGCTCCCCAGGAAAAGAATCTCCTTAACAGCACAGCTGACATGGGTCTCCTCAGTCCCACCACTGGGGTTCTACTGCCTGTCAGTGTCCTAAATGCTGGATGTGACTTAAATCTTCAGGATCACCTCCAGACACCACCATCACCCCCACTTAAGTCCTTTGTAAAGCAAAAAGGTAACGTGGTGTGACAAGGAACTGTTGTTTCCCGTTCCTGCTTTTGGTAAATCTGAAAATTCAGGGTCATTTAAGCCCCAACAACCAGAATTTTCAAGGTCATTTGCAACTCCCTCCTCCACTCCTCACATCTACAGCTGGCCCAGGTTCAAATCTTAGCTCACCCACCCGAACCTTTCTGTGCCTCAGTTTTCTCATCTGCAAAGTGGGAACAGTAAAAACTGCTCCCCCAGGCAGCTGTGGCAGTTAAGCTGAAGAGTCTGTGGAAGGCTCTGGAAAAGCTGCCACCACAGGGTTCCAGCCCCAGGAGGTCACCAGGAGCATAGGCTTAGGAGTCACTCTGGGCCTCTTATCCATCTTGACCTCTGTTCCTCCTCCCAGATTCAGCTCAATCCTAAGTGTTTCTTAATCTGGGGTGCATCTTAATAGTGGATTTAGGGGGGCACTTCAAGCAGAAACTCAAGCAGAGATGACTGGGAAGGGATTCAAAAACTGTCCATGTGCCACCTAACACACCCACTTGCCAGGGACAGGAGCTGGGTCAAGACCTCACTCGACCCTACCCTCAGAAGATAGGGGCCCTGACAGTGCAACCCTCTCTAGAACTACCCTCAGAGAGACCAGGTTCTGCCTGGTGCCCACTGCGCATGCAGCTGGCGCACAGGGTGTGGTTCTTGTGGCCGCTGCCTAGGCTCGGTGATCAGCAGGGCGTGGCAATCCTCCAGGTCTTGGAATGAGTACAGGGACTTCCTTGAATGGTGCAACTGAAAATGCTGCTGGGGAAGGGGCAAGACAGTATCAGGCCTAAGGTCCCACTGAGTCAGACCCAACTCCCATCAGCACAGCCCAGTAAGGTTTCCCGGGTACTCGAAGGTGGTGGAGTGTCCTCTCCTGTAGCTCATCCATCAGTTCACTGTTCCTGGAGACAGGACAGTTCAGTGGTTACAAAACAGGTCATTGACCTGTGCTTCACCTCCGCAAACTTCACACTTACCACCTGTGAATGGCCGGTGTAGCCTGGGTTTTGGTGGATTCCCTGGGAAAGTCTGGTTCCAGTGGGTTGCTTAAGGCCTGGGGGATTCCAGGACCCCAGGAGCACCAGAGTGGCTTTTTTCAGCATCAGGACAGAATAGGAACCGACTGTGCAGTGGGCTGACACCCGGGGCCCAGCCGGTGACTACCTCCTTGGGCCAGGCAGCTAGCTCCACCTTCCAGCTCTGGGTATCTGTCCCAGCAGTCAGTCCCCACAGATTCTTGGGCAAGCAGGCCAGAAACAGTCCCCCAAACAAATGTATCCTAACTAGCCACTGCCGGGCTGGCTTACACATCTGCTCAACATAAGTTCCCCTGCAGACCAGACCCCACCAACAACCCTGCCCACACGGCAGCCTCCCACCCATGGGGAGCTGGGCTTTCACTCTAAGGGGGCTGTACCCCTAGTTAAGGCACAGTATCTACTCCCCTGTCCACTCCTCCAATACACGGGCCCAGGAGAGGGATCGGGCTTGCGGCAGAATGGGGAGAGGGGTGGCGGGCCACCAAGGAAACGCCTGCGCCTTGTCTCTTCTTTGGCCCCGACTCAAGGCAAACCACACCCAAGCAGTTCCAGCATCTGGGGGAATCTCAGGAGGCTAGCTGCTAGTGACAAGACTGAGGGGCTGCCTGTTGACAAGTTACTTCCCCACTCTCAGCCCGTGCCAACGGGCTGTTCTGGGGTGCTCCTAGCTGCAGGCTGGTGGCTTCCAGCTCATCAAGAGCCTCAGAAAGCCTGGAAATGTGGCTTTGCTCCTTTGATGCCCACCAGCCCCAAAGCCAGGCCAAGGCAAGCAGCAGCCCCCTTTAGTGACGCTTGTAAAAGATCATCGCCTGACCTGGGAGCCTGCAGGAGGGCAGGTGGCTGGCAGCAGGGCCCAGCGGTGTAGACCTCAACGGTGTAGACCTGGGGGTGGAATGCTCAAGAGATCTTGCCCCTGGAAAGGCTGGCGCTCTCTCGGCCCTGCCTGACTGCAGGGGGATGACACGGGCCAGACTCCAGAGCAGGAAGGAGGAAAGTTCCGGGTTGGGTTGCTGTTTCTTTTCTTCTTTTTTAAAAAATAGGGTCTGGGGGGCTAGCTTCGGAAGCTAGTTGAACCGGGGCTGTGAATTAGAAGGTGGGGGTCAGGGCGGCGCACAGTCACCGTAAGAAAAGGAGAAAATAGGCAGGGAGAGAAGCCCAAGGAAAGTGAAAACCCAGGCAGGAGAGGGACAGCGAGAGGGACAGCGAGTGAGCGAGGGAGGGAGGGAGGGAGAGGGAGAGGGAGAGGGAGAGGGAGAGAGAGAGAGAGAGAGAGAGAGAGAGAGAGAGAGAGAGAGAGAGAAAAGAGCGAGGCAGAGACCCGGGCAGAGCGGGAGGACCGGAGCACGCGCGAGCCGGGATCCCAGCACTGCCCCGGGGCCCTCACAGCCTGGCTCACCAGCTCTCTCTTTTTTAACCTCTCTGGGCGACGCATCTCCCTCCCACTCTCCGTCCGGGCCACAGAAAGAAACTCCAAGAAATGGAGCCCCGGGGCGCGGCTAGCGACGGGCTCTGGACGCTGCCAATGTCCCCTGGCCACCCGGGAGCCGCGCCCACGTCCCCAGCGCGGGATCCGAGGCGCCGGGCGGGCGGTGCGCTCCGGGGCGCCGGGGGCGAGGGCTGGGGATGCGCTGGGGGCGCCGACTGGAAACACGCGGGGGGCGCGGGCTGGGAACGCGGGGGGGCGAGCGGACTGGGGACGCGAGCGGCGCGGGCTGCGGACGCTGGGGGAGAGCGGGTTGAGGACGCGGGGGGCGCGGCGCTGGCGGCTGCCGGAGCTGGGACAGCCGGACTCCCGCGTGCGGGCCGGGGCAGGACTTACGCGCGCAGCAGGGGCGGGGAGCGCGGCGCGTCCTCCCGGGATGTCCTTGGAGTGGGTTGCGGACCGCGGGGGTCGCAGGCCCGGGGTCCTCGGGCTGGGGCGGCCCCGCGAGGCTCGGCTGGGCTGCGCTGCGTGCCGTCTGCCGCCCCGGGC